TTCTTGTCCAGGCTGCCTGGAGATCTTTGTTGATCTCTTATTTGCTTATTTTCTAATGTCATTAGCGGCTGCCCTTTGATTTTGACAGCTGCTGACATTTTGAGGGATTAGTCTGTTAGGTTTTGTACTTTTTTTCCGTACATTTTTAGAATTGCTTTCAGGTTCTGTTTACTTTCGAAACCAAACAAGTTCAATAGCATGTCAAAAGATCTTTATACAAGGGCTAAGGTCTGATTAAAGTTTACTCTGTACTTGGAGCATAAAACCTTCTTTGCAGGGCACACAAACACAAAGATCAAATTATAAAGCCGGGATCAAATTGCTAAGGACTTATCAAACATTTAGCCTGCGTAGCGGCTCTTGGGGAGGGCCATGGGAGAAGGGAGATGGGAGACTACAAAATTTAGACGGCACAACGGTTGGTCACAAACATCGCATACAAYCTGTGTAAGTCATCCTTGCGACATGCACAGCTACAATAGTTGTCAGGATTTAAAAGAATTCCTTAACAGCCTTACCACAGCTGTATTCCTGTTGCAAGGATGACTTGATTGCATGCAATAGTTATAGGTAAAACTCGTGCCGTCTACYGATTCGGCTTTATCATGTGGCTGAGGAAGATCCTCTTGGTTTCCTCTTGCCGYGGTATTAGTGTCGTACCGTGAGTTAAACGTTTTAGTTTTTATTCTTATTCAAAAAGTAATATTCCATGACTACCTTGGTAATTGATATTTGATGTATCATGATGTATGGACCTGTTGCGTGCCGGCGACCGGAAACGTATTTGTCTAACAAATCGATTGTTCTCTGTGAAGATGGTGGCGACCCCTGAGCGAACAGGATGATGACAATTGTACAAGGCGGGCTGCTAGGAATTTTGTTGTTATTACGATTTATAGTGTAAAATCAGGTTGTATTTCATTTAAGTCGGACTATATGCTTTTAATTTTTAAAGTTAATTTTTTTGAATCACATTCAGTTCATTTTTAACCATTTCCCCGCCCTTTTTTCCTTTCCTTTGTGGCTTTAACGAGGGAGTGATAACGACTTGCTAAGTCTCTACAAAATGTCTATTCTTGTACATCAAAGCCAGTGTAGCAAATAAAGCTAATTTCAAAGAAATTCCTTAGTCCGTATCAGAACTATAATAAAATAAAATTTACAGAATTTTTTTTCGGAAACGAAGAACGCATGGAGAAAAAACTGTCAGGCGTTGCTTGCTTTGACCCATCGATTTGGAGAGAGATCTGGTCACGAGGAAGACGAAAAAAGATGGCGCCTGCCTTGACATTTTTCCTTCGCAAAGACTGCGTTTCTTGTCGAATTGTGTGGCTCTACATGTTAAAAGTGAGTTCGATCTAACATATTAGTGTTTTATGTATACATTTTCTAAGGTTTTACTCAAAAAGTGTACATTTAAAGTGTACTTTTGCTGTTTGTTTACAGCAGTTCGAATTATTAAAATTTGTCGTTCTCATGGAAACCAGAATTTCTTTTCAAGAGTTATTAATTAAATTCATTTGATTACAAAATGCTACTATTGTGAAATCTTTGTAAACAAATTGCAAAGACTTCTTGTGTTCCATTTGATCATTTTTCCAGTTTGTTAGTTTGATATTCAGAAAATTAATATTCTCAAAGTTTGTCGAATAATTTGGTTTTCAGACAGTCAGCCGATGGACATCCGAATGGCCATCTGGCAATACTATAGTTTCGAATTCCCTTTTGCGCAATCTTAGCTTCAATCAAGCATAAATTTTAATTATATGATAAGCAGAATATTACATGGTCACTTGGAGATACGAATTTTATCTTCTCATGTTGAAAATCTCTCGCTTGCTAAGTTCACTCGTTAGAGATCTTTTCAACACTCAAAGATAAAATCCATATCTCCGTGCGCCCATGTAATATCCTCTATATATTACAATTGCTTTCGAGGTTAAGGCTGCACAAAAATCTCGAAACTGGAGTATTTTCAATGTTGATAAACAACATACTAGTAATATCTCAGATCATATGACCTGTTTTGTAAGCATTTCACGTAAGCTCTAATGTTTTTTCTTGTTTAGAATAAGATCCCATTCACCACTGTTGACATCAATGAAGGGCGACCTGTTGGCTTCTCTGGTATGAGTCCACTGGGCTCAGTCCCAATGATTTTAGATGACGATCAGTCAATCTCAGGAAGGTATAGACTCTACATTTGCTTATCATTGTCATATCTAGACTGTGTAGTGGCTCTAGGGGAGAGTTTCCCTCTTCCCCCCTCCCCTAGAGCTGCTATGCAGTCTATGTCATATCTGCATTGGGACGGTACCAGCTTTATGACGTGCATAGAGCAAAGACTGACCTGTCAATTAATAAAGTGCTTTGACACCAACTTCCAGTTTGCTGGAAAACAACCATTTATGATCGATAGAAGTCTAATAATATATCATGAATTTTGTCTGATAGCAATGCAAAAATCAACAAGGACTTTTACAAATGCAAATCATTTTTTCCTGTATTTACATTTGATAACAGGATTTGCAAAAATTATGACTGCTGAAAATATTAATATTATTTTTTTTCGATCCTATTTCCAGTCTGGCCATTGTATTGTACTTGGCAGAGAAATATGCCAGCTTTGCAGGCTTTGGACAAACTCCAGAAATGAGAGCCAAAGTWAACTCAATAGTCTGTTGGGCGTGTGGTGCTTTGAAAAGGTACAAAAATG